GGGGGGGGGGAAGCAGTTTACCGCCACCTTCCCAGCGGGGTCCGAGGCGTTCCTCTCGGCGCCGCGACCGCCTGGGGGCCTCCCAAGACTGCCGGTGCCAGATCCATTGTAATTCGAGGCCTGCAGCTATCTAATATGTTTTAGGGCTGGAAGGTAAGTACCTTCTCCCATTGCCCTTTAGGGCTCCGCTTCTTCTTCTGACCTTCCGGTGTCTTCTGGGATCTTCATGCTCTTCAGAGCACAGCCAGTACGTCCTGCTCAGAAGGCAGGGCCAGTAAGACTGGGGATCAGAGCATAAAGATCCATTGTAATTCGAGGCCTGCAGCTATCTAATATGTTTTAGGGCTGGAAGGTAAGTACCTTCTCCCATTGCCCTTTAGGGCTCCGCTTCTTCTTCTGACCTTCCGGTGTCTTCTGGGATCTTCATGCTCTTCAGAGCACAGCCAGTACGTCCTGCTCAGAAGGCAGGGCCAGTAAGACTGGGGATCAGAGGATAAGCCCCTCCCCTCTGGGATCAAAGTTTGCCGGCCCTGCCTATGGAAGGGGAAGTGCTTTCCCAGGAGTAAGGAGTCAAGGACTGCCCCACTCCTGGACCACCGGAGAATTTGTAATTCTTATCACTGTTGTACTGCCCTGAGCCCTGTTTTTTCAGGGAAGGGCGGCCTAAAAGTTGAATTTAATAAATAAATACTTAAAGGAATGAGGGAGTGCAGCAAAAGCAAAACTAACAAGGGTTACCTTAAAGATTAGCTGCCTGAATTTGTTGTGAACTAATTATAGTTTGAGTCTTTCTACAACCCAACCTCTTTTTACTCCCCAGAACTTCCCATTAATGAATAAAGCAACATCACAAAAGTCTCTTGGTTCTTGAATATGTATTCTTTTTACTGAAAAAATCATTCATAAATTAACAAATACAAAAATGTACAAACACATGGGTAAATAAATGTAATGACACAAAGGATTGCTTTGCTGAAAATTGTGTGTATCTTAAAACACTAGATTTCAGTGCAAAAATGTACCCCTGGCACCTCATAGAAAACATAAGAGCAAGCTCAAACAGAACAGAATGGAAGGAAGTTGTTTAATGCTCCCTGTGACAGAAGGCATTTGGAAATGTGTGGCGGTTGCTCAGCTGGTAAACTCTTTGAAGAGGAGCTTTCTTTAGAAAAAATAAAAATGGTGGATATTAAACAATTTTAGCAAATGAAGACCCACATGGCTCATACAAAAAATAAATAAATCATGTTATGTTCCACCCCCAGCAGTGTTAGACAGTGTTGATGGTGGATGGAGAGCAGTGGCCTTGTTGAATTTCAGCTGCCAAAAGTTATGTACACTTTACAGATGACTTTTTTTTACACCGTATCACATGCGTTTGACAGTTATGTTTCTGAACAATTACATTTACTATACAGTATTTGAATTAGCTGATAAGATTAACAGTGCACATTTAAAAAATATTCCACATTTTTAAGGAGGGAAAGAAAGCAACGTGATCGGAAATAACCCAAAATAAACCAAGAGTGCCATTGATTAGGAAGTCAAACTTGACCCTTTCATGCCGATCTTTAGCAAGTGCATTTCTGAGCAGAGGTAATTCCTTGTCTTGTTTTTCAAGGAAGTGGGGTAGATGGCTATGTATGGCAAAAGCTTGAGAGATCTGGAGTGCTAGGCAGCCTGCCTAACTGACCAGATATATTTATTCAAATGTACATGATGGTGAACGCAAACAGTTTGAAATACATTCCTTGGTTGAAGCACCATTAAACAAAAATGTGGGTTTTCGCTAATTTTCTAGGGCTTAGAGGGAAAAAAGAAGAGAAAGGTACATAGGCATTATCCATATGAGAAAAATCAAAAGACAGAGGTCTTTATTGCTATGTGTGTCATCAACAAATAACCCACTCAGATCCTTACCTCTGCTCTGCAGCAACCATGAAGGGTTCCCTTATGAAGTATTTGAAAGCACGCTTATTTCAAATACGTTTGACCTAATTTACACACTTACCAGCATTCTCAAGGGCAGACTTGCTGTCCTTTCATATGGGCTGATAAGCTCTACACACATCCCCAAACTCGTGCATACATGCACAAGGAGGACACATTTTTATAACTTTTTTAGACTCAAGAAAGGCCTGGTCATTCACACCCACAACAGATGTATATGGGGGGGTCATACAGCCACTGAACCGAAAAACTAAATGTAAAGTATGCAAGTTAAAGAAGTCGAAGGCAACAGTGCAGTAAAAGAAATTAAAGTACTTCTGAGGTTAAGTACTCACAATCTGTCTATAAATACATATTAAAAAGCAATCCAAAAAAGACACATTTACCAGAGTTCTAGACCCCAGTTTAAAAAAAGTTTGTACACATTGTATAAACAGATGGTTTGGTTTTTAAACCACAGCAACAACAAAACCCCAAAAAAAAGGCACAAATCTAAGATGACAGTTTCAAACAAAAACTGGATCTGTCAGACTGGATGGCGGATATGGACCAAGCACCTCTGCCCAAGGCTCACATTCCCCACCCCCCCCAAACTAATCTCAATGCCCTTCATTCTTCTGTTTATAAATCTGAAGTCCGGAAAAACCTTTTGTGCAATGCTTTCTCTGGCTAATTACTACAACCAAGGGCTCTAACCTACAGCATTAGCCTATATGAATTCAGTGTACAGTTTTGTATACACAATAAATATCAAAATACTATTCATAAAACCCCCATCCAAATTAAATTACAGGAATTGCTATAGATTTTGTTTCCAAAGGCAGATTTAACAATCTGTAGTTGGCCGCCCAAACTCAGACTGATCTGAAAATGTGAAAGGATTAAAAGGTAAATGACAGCCAGGACGACTTTCTGGAAACACCATGCCTTGCAGAAGCAAAGCAGGAGGAAAGGATGTGTATTCTGGTGTTTATTTGCCACTGTGGGACTTATGGCAGAATATGCTGGACTGACAGAGAAAGATCTGGAAAGACTACATTAACTACAAAATGGTGCAAGATGGGATTTTTGTTCTTTTATAAATGTGATCACTATTCTCCCCCCCCCCAATTTTCCTACCCAAAAGTAAGCACTGCCATGACTTCCATTTTTTGTTAAGCATCACAGCCTAAGAAGCTCCTAATCCTGCAAAGCAATCAGGTGAGTAATCCTGAACCAATTTACTCATATGAATGCTGTCATGATGGGCTGAAGCACACGTGGGGGGGGGTGGGGTCTATGTGAATCATTCTAAGTTGTAAACCTTCGGCTTCAAATTGTAAAAGAATTTTTAAAAGAAAGGAAAGCGATTTATACAGCTTATTTACACCTACACTTCTTTAAGAAGCGACTCTGTTGTACATATATATATATATATCTTTTCTCTCTTCAAGCAGGTCAATTTGAAAAACAAAAACACCCAATACAGACACAGATGTAGAAGAATGATATTGTTAGCTGCAGTTCATCTCTCGTTAGGGCTGCTGCCTACAGGATTGCTCCCGGCACCCAAAGTCAAGAAGTCAACATCCTTTTTGGCCAAACTGATTCAATGAGCACGAAAAGCACATTTGATCATAGTTTGGTGTTGGAGATTGTTTAAGGAGATGGTATGCGGGGGCAAAGCAGGAGGTCAAGCCACTGTTATTTTTTCAAAAAATCAGAAAATAAATGAAGTCCGAGCTTCCTGCACAACATCCGTTTGAGGAGGGCTATAGTCACAGACCATCTGTGTGCGTGCTTTCAGTATTATTCTTCAAAATACTGTGATCCTTCATTAGACATAAGACTTTTCTAGTCCAGGAGAACCCTCTTAATATCTCTTAATATTCATTCACCAGAGCCAGCTCTGGCATCAGGTTGACAGTTATGTTTTTATACAAGGCGTCGTACGTAATATTTGGATAATAGTTCAAGTTGTTGAGGCCATCCAAACCTTGCCTCTCTTTGGACTTCCTCAGCAGTGCATACCTGTTTTGAGAGAGAGAAAAAATGGAGACATTAAGTCCAAGGCCCATCCCTGCAAAAATACACTCCCCTGAACACCCAACGACACTAAAGATTGTCCTCTTCCACCACTAAATACACAAGAATTCAAGAAATAAAATGGAGATTAGGATAAAGGAACAAATGGAGCAGATTTGTTTTGTATGCCATAGGAATTTAACCAGAAGCACCTGCATGGGAACAGCAATATGCCCAATCGTATTATCTGCCTAGTCCTAGTGACACAAAAGTTGATTTTAAAATATTCATGTGGATACCCACAGGTGGACTGATCCCTATGGGCACAAACATCTGTCTTCCAATTAAAGTCAATCTAATTTATTGCAGCAAGAGCCAATAAAACAGTACAATTCTGATATAAAACGGATTAAAACAGTAATAACATGGGAATAATATAAAAACATTAACAGGAAAGAGTTAATAAAATTAGTAAATTAAAATAGTGTTAATAAGAGAATCATACAATTTTTTGAGCTAAAATAAGTTTACGTTTCCTAATAGCTAAGCAACAAAATTTTGCCACAGCGTAAGTCACTGAGCTCTGAACGTCTTCAAAAAGGAATTTACGAAGGACTTCTGGCCTAAAGTCAAGATAAGACTGCAAAGGGCTAAATCTAGACAGAAGGGGTAGTAGAAGATGGTCTCGTTCCTCCTGATAGAATCTGCAAAACAGGTGGGCATGAGTAATTGATTCCACCATATTAGCCATGCATGGGCATATACGTTCATGCATTGGGACTCGAGTGAATTTACCTTGCAGTACAGTGGAAGGGTGTGCCTCAAAATGAGCTCTGGAAGGCTCATCTATAGGGTTCATGGGTAATGTTATCTAAATAAAGGGCAACAGTAAAATTTGGCCAAGATTTTATGTTTCTGTAGTTCTTGGGTAGAAAAGGTTCTTCATTTTGTGATTCAATATCACGAAGCCTCTGCACGATAGCTGTTCTTGCCTTGTATAGGCTTCCATAGAAGAGATCTTCTGGGCATAGGCCAATCTGATTTAATTTATTAAGAATTTGTGTGGACCATTTGTGTGGACCAGGCAGGGTAAGGATCCGAGGCTAAAAAGTAAGGTATTAAACCCTTTGGGTTGTAATGAATTTTTAGCCAGAGCATTATAGCCTGCTCCCAGACCTTTGTTTCAACTCTGAGTAGCCCAGCCTCTTGCCTAAGTGTTACATTAGAGGTACTTCTAGGAACGCCAAATAGAGATCTAAGAAATTTAGATTGAACCTTTTCAAGGGTCTTTAGATTGGCAGAAAGTCCGATTTGTGAGCCATACAGGAGTTGAGCGGATGATTTTGCCTGGAAGGTTTTTAAGGCGGTGGGGAGAAACCCTGCACCTTTCCTTCTAAATAATCTAAGAATGGCATTTGCACTTCTTTCTGCAAGGTTAGCTGATGAGGACAAATGTGCTGAGAATCTAGAATGATAAGAAAAGGTAATGCCTAAGTATTTAAAGTTCTTAACTTGATCTATGGCATTTCCTTTAATATTCCAGTTGAACTTCTTGAATGAGTTACCAAAACGGACAATTTTAGTTTTAGTGAAATTATAGATAGTAATTCAGTGTCACATTGCTCTTTAAATTTTATAAGGGCTCGCTTCAAGCCAATCCTTGTCTGGGATTAAAGAACAGCATCGTCAGCATACATTAAGATTGGAACCTTTCTGCTACCTGAGAATGAGGGAGCATGAGTATCAATTGAATGAAGGCATGTGATTAAGGAGTTAACATAGATGTTAAATAAGAAGGGAGCGAATGATAAAAAAGGTAATGCCTAAGTATTTAAAGTTCTTAACTTGATCTATGGCATTTCCTTTAATATTCCAGTTGAACTTCTTGAATGAGTTACCAAAACGGACAATTTTAGTTTTAGCGAAATTATAGATAGTAATTCAGTGTGACATTGCTCTTTACATTTTATGAGGGCTCGCTTCAAGCCAATCCTTGTCTGGTGGGAGTATGCCTCAACTCTCCATGCAGCTCTTGGCTCCCCCCACCCCCACCCCATAGATATGGTAGGTACCAAACTGTAGCCCCTCAGGCTTATTCTACACTATGCTCGCCGAACTGCAGTCCCTTCTGATGCAAAGTGACTGCCTTTGCCCTCGGAACATTTTGGACTTGGAAATCTTTAGTCTGGAGAAGGCGGAGGGGGGACATGATTGCTCTCTGGAAGTATTTGAAGGGCTGTCACTTAGAGGAGGGCAGGGAGCTACTCCTGTTGGCAGCAGAGGAGAGGACTCACAATATCTCCATCCAGCTCTTGGCTCCCCCCACCCCCCACCCCATATATATGGTAGGTACCAAACTGTAGCCCCAGGCTTATTCTACACTATGTTCGCCGAACTGCAGTCCCTTCTGATGCAAAGTGACTGCCTTTGCCCTCGGAACATTTTGGACATGGAAATCTTTAGTCTGGAGAAGGCGGAGGGGGGGGATGATTGCTCTCTGGAAGTATTTGAAGGGCTGTCACTTAGAGGAGGGCAGGGAGCTACTCCTGTTGGCAGCAGAGGAGAGGACTCACAATCATGGGTTTAAATTAAGGGTGGGAAGGTACCGGCTGGATATTAGGAAAAACTTTTTTACATTAAGAGTTGTTCAACAGTGGAATCAGCTGCCTAGGGAGGTGGTGAGCTCCCCCTCCCTGGCAGTCTTTAAGCAGCAGCTGGACAAACACTTGTCAGGGATGCTCTAGGCTGATCCTGCATTGCGCAGGGGGTTGGACTAGATGGCCTGTATTGGCCACTTCCAACTCTGTGATTCTATGATTCTGGAAAGTATGTTCTGCCAGTATGTACCTTGTTCATTATTCTTGCACATGGAACCCAGAGTAGCATGCAAATGTGAGCTTCCAGCTGACCAGGGCTAGGTGTTTGGTTGATGGAAGGGAAAAGCCTGTCATAGTTTAACTCTACCAAGCAGAGAGAATTTGTTTCCAAACCAGATTAGACACACAGAGAGAGTCTTAATCTTTTAGACTGTAACAGGGAAAATCCCCTTAAAGTCAAAAGGCTGAAGAGAATGAGGAGGAACTGGCCTCAGAAGGCAAACATGTTATTTAGACAATTTATACACCTCCTCTCAGAGATCTGCCTGAGGAGGATCAAAGAAAGAACACAGCATTATCAGAATTACTACTAATTGAAACAGAAAGTTAGCCGGAGGCACAACTCAGTATTCAGCTGTCAAAAATGATAGTCATGGTCCTCAGAACAGAGCATACCATAACAGCAAAGGTGTTAACACCCTCCAATTGAAAACCTGGGACAAAAAAATGCCTTGGCCTGGGACTTTAAGTGAGAATAAAGGGGGAAGGGTCCAGATGAGCTTCAAGCCAAAGAGCATTCCAAAGAGCAAGGTGCCACTATTCTAAAAGCATCATCTCTGGCTACCACCTGTCATCTTTGCAGGTGGGACTATAAAGAGCAGGGCTTGGGAAGAGGACCTTAACCTCATTTAAAGTCAATTTCTTCCTCTTTCGATTAATACTTTTTAAAAAAATGAAATCCCATTTGTAACAACTCCATAGTGGTATGTACATGCACGCGCGACTGGTTTGTTTTGAAGGTTGACAAATAAGGGCATGTAGTGTTCCATTTTCCAAACAAAAATTGTGAAATATTTAAGTTAAAAAGTGCGTCCCTAGTTGGTGACAAAGAGGTTCCACTTAGCTGTTAGCATGAAAGTTTTAATGGTTACAAGCATGCAACTGAAATACAAGCTTGATTTAAATTGGCCTGTTCATCTTGCAGTTTGAAACATGATTAAAAGCCTGCGCTCTATAATTTGGAAGGCAAATATGGTACCTTCTCAATTACCCATTAGAAGGTTGTTTAAATATTGCAGAGAAACTAAGTGATTGAAGAGCAAAGGAAGATTGATCTGGTTTTCCAAAATAAACAGGTTTCCGAGCAAAAAAATTATCTGGAGAATAGTGCTATGGCATATTTCCAAGCAGCACACCTTACCTATTTCAAGCCTAGAAACAGAGAACATGAAGAGAAAAAAATGGGAAAGACATGAGGAGACTGGAAATAAAAGAAAAACAGGAAGAGCTGGATCTGTAGAGGACGCAGGACTTGAACCTGAGCTAGATAAAACAATGAGTCAGGAGGAGGCGGAGGAGGAGGAAGTGTCATTGCAGCAACATGGAACAATCTGTTGGCCTGACTATGATGGTTTGTAGGAATGTTAGTGGGGAATGCATATGACGAGGCTCAACACAAGGGAGAAACTGGTAGGGTGGGGATTCTCTCTTGCAACACAAGCTGCCAAGCTTTTCTGTAGAGGCCACACCTAACTCTCTTCCAACAAACAACTGGATATCAACTAGAGGGCACACCTGAACATAAGAACATGCATAAGAGAAGCCAATGTTGGATCAGGCCAATGGCCCATCCAGTCCAACACTCTGTCACACAGTGGCCAAAATACCAGGTGCCATCAGGAGGTCCACCAGTAGGGCCAGGATACTAGAAGCCCTCCCACTGTCGCCCCCCCCCCAAGCACCAAGAATACAGAGCATCACTTGCCCCAGACCGAGACTCCCTATCTATAACTTATGGCTAATAGCCACTGATGGACCTCTGCTCCATATGTTTATCTAATTCCCTCTTGAAGCTGTTCATGCTTGTAGCCACCGCCACCTCCTGTGGCAGTGAATTCAGTGTGTTAATCACTCTTTGTGTGAAGAAGTACTTCCTTTTATCCGTTCTAACCCACCTGCTCAGTGAAAAGTACTTTTGCTACCTGTTCTGTCTCATGCATAATCTTGTAAACCTCTATCATATCACCCCTCAGTCGTCGTTTCTCCAAGCTAAAGAGCCCAAAGTGCTTTAACCTTTCTTCATAGGGAAAGTGTCCCAACCCTTTTATCATTCTAGTTGCCCTTTTCTGCACTTTTTCCAATGCTATAATATCCTTTATGTGGAGTGGTGACCAGAATTGCACACAGTATTCCAAATGAGGTTGCACCATCGATTTATACAGGGGCATTATAATACTGGCTGATTTGTTTTCAATTCCCTTCCTAATCATCCCCAGCATAGCATTGTCCTTATATGAACAGGACCTGGCAAAAGCTGACCCTACTGCAGCAGTTATACTCATGAACAAGATTAAAACACACCACTCAGGCAGACATTTCAATTGATTAATAAATTTATTAAATAAATTAAATAAATTTTATTTATTAATTCCCTGCAGTAGAAGTCCTGCACAGGATCACTAGATGCTGGGATATGACCATTACACACAGACTCACGGACCAAACAATGGTAGCCAAGAGTGTAAAAATGGAAAATACTTTTGTGGGAAGTACAGATGTTCTATGTAGCTTATGCTGATAAAAATAAATATACCCTGCCAAAGGCAGAATTACATAAAGATTGTTATTTGTTGTAATATGTTTTGGAAAGATATTGGTCTTCAACAATGTATTTTATCATGTTGGTATTTACTGTGCTCCTATAAGGTGGTGGGTAAGGGTTAATTTAAAAGCAGACAGACTCTTTGCTCAGCATTACTGCCTCTTTCCAAATGGTGATTCCTCCATTGTGTTATGATGTTCATGCCTTTGCCTTTTGCTTTGTTTAAAAGTAAAAATAAAATAAAATTTAAAGTTTAAAACTATTAACTTGCCTTCCTAAGAACTGTACTTCGCCTCTATGATGATGTGGAATCGACTTGTATTTCCCAGTGTCTCCTTCTGGCCGAGTTACAAAGTAGCCTGCATAGTGGACCCTAAAGGAAAAATACAAAAAGGAAGGAGCTTTTCAGGTGATTTGAATTCAGCATTTTCCAAGACACCACAATAAGAGAAACAAGTGCCCCACTGCGCCTTCCAAGCAGTACTCCCATCAGGCTAGCTCAACACAGTAGCCATATTTAAACCACTCAAGACATGGATAATTAAGAACTGACAAGTAGGAAGCCCTAGGCCAGAGCAGAAGTACAATTTTGCTTTCAAATGCAGCTAGTGTTTATTCTGCATTAGGCATTAAGAGCACATTTTTGCAGCACAAACCTGTGTTCCTATCCGCAAGCAAAACACATTATTCTAAAATAAACTGAGGTTACGTACAAGATAGAAAGTATGTAGAGTTTATGTGACAAGTTATGAAGCCAAATGCTGCTCAGCAAGACTGACACCAAGCCTGCAGGAACAGAGCCAATCAACACAAAAGGGAGCTAGAAAGAGCCCTCAGGCAACTTGAACTGCTGAGACAAGCATGTAAGGTTTGCTCAGGAAGTTATATCACCAGCTTATCAAAGAGAAGCCATCCAGAATAATTCTACCACTACATTATATCATGCACAGAACGTCTCGTTGCTAGTCCGATACTAAGGATCTGCTAGCTTGTGAGAGAACCATGCTAAGTTGGAGCCCGCACATAATGTGTTCCCTTCCACTTCTGGTATGCCACGTACCTGTTCCAAAAGTCATCGTCCTCTCCGCCCCAGCCCCAGAAGGCATTAGGAAAGCCATTGATTTTTTTAAACTGTTCCACTGTTAGGCCACTCACTCCTCCAAAGAACTCATTATAAGGGAGTCTGTATTTAAAAAAAATAGAATAATAATGTTAGTGAAACCTGCTGTGAATAGAACTTATCAGTCACCAGGGCAGTCTTGGCCTGTTCACAGCCTGTCACAAGCCATAACTTTCCAAGACATATAAAGTCAGCCTTGGCCTGTAGTGATGTCTGCCTTCATTTTTCCACTTATCTTTTTTAAAAAGCTATCTTATGTGCACAAAAAGGAGATCATCAGTTACTTACAGATACATATATTTATCCAGCTTTGCTGCAAAGTGTCTTGGCATCTGCCCACATCCATAGTAGTTACGGTCATTTTCAGGTATATGATCCACATCATGAAAGATCAGACAATCCCAGTCCAAGTCCTTCATTGCTTCCCGAAAGCCAACATTGAAGAGCATGGCACGGTTGAAGGGTTGAGTACCAGCCTAGCAAAAGAACCCAAACATGCTGATTACATTCAAGCGTGTCCACAAGAGAGAAGAAGGCTTATGTACTGTGTTGCATAAAGACACCTGGTCCCAATGAAATGGTGTACAATGGGGTAGTGTACGCATTATTTATTAAATTAGATTTACTAGGCCGCCCTTCCCTATGAGTAGGGCTCAGGGTGGCTTACAACAAGTAATATGCAATCTCATCCAACTACATTAAAATAGTCCAATAAACAACAGTAGAGAAAACAGTATATATACAATGCTTAAGATGGTGGAAAATCCTAGCTCCCCGGCCTCCCTGGGGGGAGAGGTTAAGGGGAATGGGGAATTATATAAGAGTGCCAGAAGTCCTGTCACTGTCCTCAGTCAAAAGCCCAGTGGAACATCTCTGCCTTACATGCCCTGCGGAAAGGTAGCAGCTCCTGCAGGACACGAATGTCTTCCGGCAGAGCATTCCACCAGGCAGTTGAGGACAGCCAGACTTCTCTCAGGCCAGGGACCACCAACAAGTTCTTATTTCCTGAGTGTAATTCTCTTCCAGGGGCATACTGGGAGAGGTAGTCCTGAAGATATGTAAGTCCCTGACCACTAAGGGCTTTAAAGGTCAAAATCCTGAACCTGATCCAGTGCTCCAGTAGAAGCCAGTGCAGCTCAGGCAGCACTAGTTGAATATGTGCTGTTCAAGAGGTCCCTGTAAGGAACCGCACAGCTGCATTTTGGACCAGCTGAAGTTGGAAAAATGCCAGGTTGGCAATCTTTAGAACCTGGGCTTCCATGGGCAAGGAAGAATCCAGGATCACACCAGCTAAGAAGTTTTTGGGGAGGGGGCCGGGGGGCCAACAGCCCAGGGCGTCGCGGTATCCACCGAGGCACAATATAAACATCCGAACATACATATATTTGCTTTAATTAAAAACAATCACAACATGCCAGTAGCAGCCACCGCAGTGAACTATCTGCCTGCCTGGAAACTTACAAGCCTCCCCCCCCCGTCTGAGGTAGGAAAGACGGGCGAGTTGGAGAGGGGCGAGTTGGCGGGGGGGGGGGATTGTCTGTTGAGGTCCAGTGATGGTGGGGCTCGCCCACTCAGCCCTCCTCGAGCTTTCCTCCAGAACTGTTTTGTCGAGAGCATCTGGTGCTTCCAGTTGTCGACAGGCAGAAAAGGTTACGAATCGGGCTGTGGAACCAGCGGTCTGTGAGGTTTTTTTGGCTTGTTGGTCTTCTTTCTTGGGGTTTTTTTTGGGGGGGGTTCTGCTTGTTTTAAGGTCTGTCTGTGTCTTTCTTGGCCAGGCATCCTGTTTTTTTGGGGGGGTTATAGGGTTCTGCTTGGGGGGGACTGTTGCCTTTTCTGTTCTGCCTTTTAGCAGGTTTCTTTAAACTTTTATTTCATTTTTAATTAAACAAAATAGCTTGACAGATTACATATATTTTCAGAGTTCTTCATTTCACCTGCTTATTTATTCATGCATACACTCTTTTCCATCTATTGCTATGTACCGTATTATTTCCCCCCTGTAATCTTATACTCAAATCGTCCATTTGTGCTAGTTCTAACAATTTTAAACTCAGGTCTATATTAGTGGGTATTTCCTATGATTTCCAAACCTAGGTTTTGTTTGGGCTTTCTTAGGCATAGGGGAAGACTGTGCTCTCTGTGTGTGCTTCTGGTTTAGCTATGTGTTGTGTTAAATAGGCTTTAAAAAAAAGGATACAGGTTTATTTTTAACAAATATTCTAAATCTCAGTATAGGGCTTAAGCTGTTCTACCTAACTAGGCCAGTGGTAGGAGAACAAACAGAGGCAGGTTTGTCTTCACATAAAATAAAGGTTTAAGTAGCATTTAATTATTTAAAAAGTAGTGCGCTTAGCTGTGCTGTTTGTGCGCTGACTGACCTTTGGTGAAGCCAGGCACTTTCCCCCCCTTTTAGACTGTTTTTCAATTAGGGAGCTTTTCCTGATTCCACAAGGGAATCAGGTGGTTCCAGTAGAATCTAGATAGGAGTAGCTCAAATCCCAAAAACATTTTAAAAGGTTTGAACAAGCCATCTCAAGGACAGTCTGTAAACCATAGTCAGGGGCCAGTGTAGAAATTCACTAGTAATAAAAAAACGAACCCAGAAAAAAAATGAAGCAAGGCTAGGTTAGGGTCTACTGAAAGAGAAAAAAAGTTTTTCGGTAGGAGGGTTTATAAAAAGGTGTGTGAGGTTGTTTTAGGGTCAGGTGATAGTGCAGGTAAGTTAGGTGCCTAATACCCTCACCACAAGAAGTTAGCCTGAGTTTGGCCAGGGGTACCATGAGCGGCAGGAAGGAAACGCAGAGGGGCCCTGGGGGTAAGGCAAAGGAGAAGACTAGAGGGGCAGAGGGGGGAGGGGAGAGCTGCGGCTCTCCCCACACCTAAGCACAGGGCCACAACTGAGCATCCTGGCACCACTCCAACCTCTGGCCAGGGTGGTGCCG